AAATACAATTTTTATATCAATATAATAAAAAATACATCTTAAAACAATCATATATGTTCATATGATATTACACTAAAAATAAAATTGAGAGAGTAATTAATATATATATAAATTAAAAATAAACCACATGAGTCATGAAAACAATTTAATAAATCCAAATCACAACAATTAAATAAATTTATTTATATTTTTTCTTTAAAAGAAAAAAACACTCAAATTCCCAAAAAGCCAATTTTCGACTTTCACCACCACATTCAAGAACTTGCAGCAGTAATCCAAATCCCAATTTCTCCAAAGAACTCAAAATCCCAGAAAAAAGATGTAATCTTTCTTCTCTTCTTCATATGGGGTTTTAATATTTTTTGTTTAGATCTCTGTAATGATATGAAATTGGTCTATTTTGAGTCTAATGGATGCAAAAATGAATGATATAGTTGATTTTAACTAGTTTAGGATTAAGGGGTGATTTTTTTTACTGTAATAAATCTATGTTTCTTGTTATAGCTGTGTTGTATTTGCAAAGATTTCTGAGTTTCAGTATTTTTTTTTGCAGAAAACACAATGAAAGCTGTGAAGGGTCATCAAGAAGAGGAAGAAGAGGAGGAAGATGAGACTGGTATTGTTAAGAAGGATGCCACACCTTCTAGCAGTAATACCAAAGGTCTGTTAAATTTTACTCCTGTTTTTTATTTTTCCTGATTTTTGTAGTTGAAAGATTGGATTTTTATTGTTGAGGATATAAGTTGAGCTGGATTTTGAGGTGTAAAATGAAAAATACTGAATTTTGTTTTGTGGATGTATTATTGTGGAAGGAACAGATGGGAAGAGTAATGAGAAGGCTAGTGCCCTAAGGTCTAAACATTCAGTGACTGAGCAGCGTCGAAGGAGCAAGATCAATGAGAGGTTGGTTAATCCGTAAATTCTGTTTGAACTTATCGGTTAATTGAAGTTTTAGCTTTTCCTATGAGTTTGTGAGGACTTTAGGTCTTCATTTAGACGTCGATTGAGTGGTGTGATACATGGACAAAGACTGTAAATGTGGAGTGATTATTTAACAGAACTTGCGACTAGCTTGACATTGACTGTCTAAAGAGATAAGCAGAAACCAATTTCAGCTTTGAGTGTAAATAATTTGCAAGTATCTTACTTATGAGTGTGCTTGGTATGACTGAAGTCAGTTTTGCAGAAAAAAGTTTTCCATTAGGAAGTCATTTTGTGGTGTTTAATTACCAGAAATATTTTCCATTTACCATAGGAAGGGGAAAATGTTTCTTCAACTTCATGTTACTTGCTTCAACTAACACTATAACATTATTCGTGATCTTTTCTGTTAAAAAATTTCATAAGAACAATTACTAATTTGCTGAAGTTATTATTGGTGTTTAGTATATACTTTTCAGAGAATATTTTTCGCTCACCGACCACACAACCACCCAACAGAAAACATAATATTTTCTATAAGAATATTTTTCCATGAGAATGACTTCCATCATACCAAGTACATTTGTAGTCTTTTGTAATTATCGACTTCTTATTGGTTTACTTGTATTTTTAATTCCGTAAAGGATAAACATGTTGAGATCTTAAGAGTGTCAAATAATCTATTGAACTAGAGTTGTTTAGAACAAAAGTCATGACATATAATCTGTGTTGTTCGAACTCTTCAAAAATGCCGCTGTGTGCATGTTGGATCCTCCAAAAGTAGTACAGACATGGGTGAGACATCATTTTCGGAGAGTCTGAGCAACTTAGCATATAAAAGTAGGTTATAACAATACATTTTAGGTTTAATCGATATGTTAACCTAAGTATAGTGGAACTGGGAATTGGGGAAGCATCTGGATGGAATTTTGACGAGATCTTTGAGTTTTTGGGTGTGACTTCAAATTGTATAGGGTGCATCAGATAAGATGTTAAAGTCCATCTACAGAAATGACATGAACTCTGAGTGAAGCTTCTAGCTATTGCGTGATTTTAGTGTGTGTGAAAGAGAGAAAGAGAAGATCAGTCATATTTTCCTCAGGTCAATAAATTGAGCTGAAGTAAAAATCAAAACCGCTAGTAGAAAACTGAGATAACTAGTTATAACATGAAAAGACTAATTTAAGTGAAATTTATTTTTTGAAACAAGTGTGTAGAAAGCACTTACCTAGGTTCGATTTTTGCAAAGTAGGAGGATACCAAAAAATCTCTTGGTCACCTCATCACCCTATCCTACAAGTTTCCAGCTGAAATAGTATATTGGGTCTTAAATAAGTTGTGTACAAGGGCTGAATGGAGCTGAGAAAAGCTTTAGGATTCTGAGCACAGATCAAACTATCAAAGAAGAAAATAGAAATAAATAAAATAAAGAAAGAGATCAAAGAAGAGAATTGGTTCTTTAGAGTCCAGTCATATTTATGGTATTTGTGGGAAGGTTCTAAGGTTTAAGCAATGAAATGAGATGGTTTTCGAGCCTCATAGTGATACTCATATTTGCAGAGGAGGAAACCTAGGAAGTCCTCTTAGAACTTAAAATTCTGTAAAAATCAAAACTAATATCTACAAAAAGTATCTAAAGAAGTTACAGAAAATTCTAATTCAAAAATTCAAAAAAAGATGTCACAGAAAATTCTGATAACTGATGAGCTCCATTATTACATAGAAAATACTTACAGGATACTAATTTTCCTATTCCTCCAGGAATCGCTAACAGTGCCACTAAGTTAGTTGTTGATGTCAAGTTACTAACTCTATTCCTGGAAAAGTAAATCTTTTAAATAACCGGTCAAGCTACTCATAAAAATGGACTAGTTTCCGTAGAAGTCTTGAACACTTGTTTCCTACTTTTTCTTTGCGGGGGGTTTTGGGGGGGGGGGGTTACTTGGAATATGGGGTATTTGAAGATTATTTGCTCAAATCTATCTAAAATGCTTGAGAAATTCAATGTTGTTCTAAAGCTTATTTGGGTAATCTAGATTTCAGATATTGAGAGATCTGATACCCCATACTGATCAAAAGCGAGACACTGCATCATTCTTGTTGGAGGTACATTCTATTAGTTGAAAACCAGTTTACCTTTTGCTTTATTTGTTCATTTTTTTTGTAAGTTTTGATCTCTTGGTGATAGTTGATATTTGTATGCAGGTAATTCAGTACGTACAGTATTTACAGGAGAAGGTACAGAAGTATGAAGGACCATATCAGCCTTGGAGCTCAGAGCCTACAAAGCTTATGCCATGGGTAAATTCCTGTAGCTAGTTTCGTGACGTATCAATTTTCTTAACAAAGGTTTTTGGTTGTGAACTTTGGGTTGCATTTTCTAGCTCTCAGCTGTAAGAAAAACTTATTCTTCTTACATAGAACACTCGTGCTTCAGGTTATTATAAGATAATCAACTTACACAGTGGAGATTACTGTGGAAAGTCTTGCTTATATTGCTAGCTAATCCAATATACTGAACATCATAAACTTACTGAATAGTGCATAAGCTACTGATATTGCTGCACAAATAAAAGATGCATCTTACCTTACTCTTTTTCATTGGAGTGCTGCATTTTTTGCACCGACACTGCAAATCATTCTTGAGTGTGGCCAGAATGGGGAGAGAAAAGCAGATGGGAAGAAACACAGAAAGCTGTGACCTCTTGTCTCCAATGTCCATATCGATTAACATTTCTTCCTAATATTCTCTGTCCATCTCTCTCTCTTACACACGCACACACTCATGCGTGATGAACAAAAACAAAAACACCACCCTCAGATGAACATTGATGTGGACATATTTCACATTATACTTGTATACAGATAGATCCATGATTAGGCTATGCCTGTGCTTTCATTTTGTGACCCATTCATTTTGTTGTGTATCTGTACACTGCTACTTTGAATGTATGCATGGCTGTGCTTGCTCCTGATTTTCTGGATTTACACCCAAGTAAGATCAATTTTGACTTTTTTGTTCATATGAACTTGATTATTGTTTTTTTTTTCTTTCTAATAAGCTCCAAGTGGATACTTAAAAGCTATACCAACGCTTTGGTGCTGCAGTTACATGTGTATTAAGTCTAGCATTTCCAATGCAATCAAAATCATATACACCATTCATTCTACAATAAAAATATACCTATATTTCAAAAAACAAATCTGCAGGTTTCTTTCCTTCAAAGCACCTGTAGTTCCTTTTAACTATAATGTCCATAATATGCATACCGGGACTCTCTTTCATAGTGTCTTCTCTGTTTCTCCGTAATCTTTCCTCCCCAAAGTTGTGCGGTTTCCTTCATGTTTCTTGGCACAAAAATGTAGCATCTGTTGCACAAGTGGAAGCCCCTCTGCTTATCATCTAGAGTCCAAAAGGCTTCTTTTGTAGCAATCAATCTGAAACATGCAACTTTTAGTGGTTCAGACAACTTTTGTAGTACTTCATCTTCCATGGCCATCTGTCGTCGTCAGTAAATTTATAACAACATCTCACTGTGAACCTGCCATCTTCCTTGCTTTCCACCATAGTTTGTCTGGTTTTTGGGTTAACTCCTGATGCTTTTTGTGTCTCCAAAAATTTGGGCGACCCTTTGTTTTTTAGTCTTGAGAATATCTTCTAAACCATATATTCCATCTGCCAGTCCTGCTTCTGGCAGCTGTACTTCAGTATTACAGCAGTGCAATACAAATCAAGGGATTTAACTCCATGAATTGTGTTCCTTCCCAGCATCTTTTAGTCCTGAGAATATCTTCTAAACCGTATATTCCATCTATTGCCAGTCCTGCTTCTGCCAGCTGTTCTTCAGTATTTACAGCAATGCAGTACAAATCAAGGGATTAACTCCGTGAATTGTGTTCCTTCCCAGCCATATCTCTTTCCATAATTTAGTTTCTGTCACTTCTCATTCTTATTGCTTACTGCGCCTTCAATAAGATTAGTTTTAGCTTCATTATTTATTGTTATTGTGTCTTTACTCCTGTAAGATTATAATAGGTCCCCTCTGGTTCCATTTTCTTCCCTTCTCTGAAGAGTTCAAGTCCACAGGTACATTTTGGCAATGATTTTTCTGATAAATGTGATTTGGGCAATGAAAAGTCCATAGGTGCAACTTAGGCTATGGTATTAACTCCTAACTTGTGTCTCATCTTGTTCCAACCAGTAACAGTTCTATGACTGAATATGTTCATGAGGAAGCTGTTTTTGTTTGTAAGTTAAAAGTTATTTTTATATGGTCCAGAGAAACAGTCATTGGCGCATGCAAAGTTTACCTGCACAGCCACATGCCTTGAAGAATGGTAGTGGCCCAGAATCAACATACCTGGGAAGGTTTGATGAAAATCTCGCTACTGTTACTTCTACGATGCAACCAAATCAGCAGAATCCAATTGAATCTCATACTAGCAGGGATGTATCATTTAAAGCACTTGATCAACAAAATGAACTAGCTAACAAGTCAATCACAACACCCATTCCTCTTCAGGCCGGTATGAAGATGTCAGTGCCAAACAATAGTGCTTTCTCAGAGCCTCAACCCAGACCAGTGTCTGATCAATGTCCTAACACAATTGATGCTCTGAATCATGACGAGGATGACGTAATAGATGGAGGCAGAATCAGCCTTTCAAGTTCATACTCGCAGGGGTGAGTGATTATCTAACTTTTACTGTTGGGAATGTATAAAGTTAATCAAATTTGGTCTCTCCATATCTTATTTGCTCACTTTTTGATTCTCTTCTATTGGTTAGTAATCTCTGTTTCTTGTTTCTTTTATGTGGGACATTGCTGTTAATCTAGATATTCAGTGTAGCATCCTCTGCAATATCTTCAGTTTCTTGTGGATGTCTTTTCATTATATTAAGTTTGTCTAACTGTCATCACTCAGCTGCAACTTTTACGAACTTGTAAATTCTACGTTGTTTGGTCTTGACTGATCTTGTGTGATTGGTTCTTTCTTTTCCTATCAGAAGAATCTTCAGACTTTGACAAGTCTTGTGTAATTGAGGCTTTCCTTTGATGGACATCTCCATCAGTACTCTGGAGGTTCTCCCTTTTTTATAGCTCATCAAATCTTCCTGATATCTAGGCCTTATGGTGATACACCTTGCTTGTATGCTTGGTTCCTTTTGGGTTGTTTGTCTTTAATGGAGTATTTGTTCATCCCTTCCGTCTCGTGAGTTCTTGTCACATAAATAATATAGTCAGTAGTTGATTACTTTGTCATTATCAAAATCTAGACTTAACATAAGCATGTTAACCTGTCCTGGCCTGGGAGGCAAATACTTGAGTGTCAGGGACCTTACCGGTACATCATAATGTTCCTCTTTAGTTTTGAGAAGATGCATTTCATGCTGCATGTTTACTTGAACCAGTTCAACTTCTGGTGTTTCATATGTTCAATCGCATTCCAAATTATGGCATAGTGAGTTCAGCATATTGCCAAAAGTACGGTTCATTCTCATCTTTGTAATTGAGAAATGAACCCAGTAAAGCTGTAGTGGAGAATCTTAAGTACCAAGTGTGTTTGAATTTATGTGTACATATCTATTTTATATAAAGGTGGCTTTCGGACTAGCTTGTGCGCATCTCGAGTAGAATACCGGCTACCTCCCACCCTTCCTTCTTTTTGCATTTCTACCTTCATATGCATGTAGAACAGATGTAGTCAGTTATCTATTATCAATGTTTCATCCAGGGTTTACAGGACTTGTGATATCTCTGGATTGGCTTGCCTTGATGTCAACATTATATTTCTACTGATCATTGCTTTGGTCTAATCAGGTTTCTAACTTCGTTGTCGCAAGCGCTGCAGAGTACTGGTCTAGATCTTTCAAAGGCTACTATCTCAGTGCAGATTGATTTTGGGAAGCGCGCAAACCAAGCAATGACCTCAGGGCCATCTATTGCGAAGGTATGAATCTTTTCCAACTTGTTTCAAATTCGAGAAGCAAATATATTCGAGACAGAGCACTGCATCCACTCGCCTACCGTCTTCCTTGTGGCACATGAGCATCCTAGATTAATTCTTTAGCGCTTCACCTACTCTCCACTTTACACTTACCTGTTCATTTGCATTCAACTCTAGGATGACGAGAATCCTACTCTCTCTGGTCATCAACATACGGATCATTTCAGAGAGGCAAGCAATGACGAAGATATGAACCAAGCTCAAAAGAGGCTGAAGATATAGATATTACAGTAGCATGGTCATTCCCAGCTAAATCAACTTAGTTTTGTGTTTACCATATGCTTCAATAGAAGTTTATATGTATATCCCATTTGTTTTTTCGTCCCCAAATCATATGTTCATAGAAATACATCCTTTTTACTTCTCTTCCCTTTTCATTTTGATGTTTTCTTTTTCTTCTCAGGTGTGGTTTCATCTTCCTTGTGTTTGGTTTAATCTCGCAATATTCAGATTTATCAGGAGGTTTATAATTGATATCTAGTACAGTATGCTGTTAATCTCCCTTTTTCGACTTCACCATTATTTTATAGGGTAAAAGCTATATGCAAATTAGACACAATGTCCTTCATAAGGGACATTGTTGTATTAGAGTACTTGCAGGAAGAGTCATTTGGCACATTATCTGTTAATTTGCAGGAAGTTACGCCTAGATTTTGATCCTACGCGTCTCATGAGCTAATTTTCAAGGTTAAAAGTCAAAACTCGTAATTTCCTGTAGTGTTGCCTATGTGGCAAGCAGGCTACTCACCTCCAAGGACAATCTTGTAAATCATCTGTTAAATTGCAAGTAATAAAGTTCCATATGAAATATGATGATGATGATGGAGAAAAAAGTCAAAAAGGAAAAAATACACATTAAGAGAGAAAATGATGAATTACCTAACAGAGTGAATGATGAAAGTGACATTTTGTAGGAGACCTCAGAAATTTATTACAATTAAAGGAACATAAAGAGGGAGAAATAGACTAGAGACACAGTATATAACTGTATTTTAAAAAAAAAATCTCATTCTATTTTGTCAAAATATTTCACATGATATGTTTTGACACGAACATTTTGACACATTCTACATATCTTTATTTTAAAGCCATGAGATTCAGAAGTTTTCTTTATTTTTTCAAACTTTATATTAAATCAAAAATAGATAGACATATTGAAAAATCGATATACTTAAGAGATGTGTTAGGTGAAAGTCTTACGGTTTCTTCGTATGAATTTGTAACATATTACTCGGATGTCTCAAGAAAGTTCATATTATTTCATTAGTATTAAAAGGAGAGTCTCGAAATAATGATAAAAGGCCGTTTTATTGATGAATGATTATATTGAAGGATAACACACAATATAAGGAAAACAAAGGGTTGGTTGAGTCTACATTTCAGTGCCTTCACTTTTTAAGATAATAACACACTCAAAGAGCCCTTTGAACCTATTACCAATGACATGTGATTCATTCCTAAGAATATCAACTTGTAACTAACAAAGGATGATGAAATGATGTATATTTTTGAACTGAAAACTCTACAAAAAGAAACAAAAAGGACTTAGAATTTACAACAGAGAAGGCTTTGCCTCCAACCCTTATAATGTCTCCGTTCTGCCTTCGCCATTCTTACTGGACTACTGTTCCATTCAGATTGTAATCTGTAAAGACATGATAAACACAAGGAAAATGTTAGTAAAAACCGATAGCTACTGGAAGATGATGGGAAAAAGGAGTGTAGTATAAGATTTCACAAACAATTACACTGGGAAGGCGAAGGATCTGGCACTGGTTGTGCTGCTATCTGAACGAAGAGAGATGTTACCCGAATGTGCTATGTGACCTGAGTAAGAAATCAAACCAGATGCAGGTCCAAAACTTGCCTCTCCATTTGCAAAATGACCATGCACACCGAGGGGGATACTACTAGAGTTCTTTTCCTCGAGATTAGCCACATTTGGGGGGTCGGCGTGAATAGTACTGCTATTGCTGGAGTCTACACTATTGGCAAAATGAACTTGAGTAGCAGCTGAAAAGCTGTCAGAACTCCCATCCTTTTGACCGGAGACGGCCTCTAATTTATGGGATTGTTCTGGCAAGTGTTTGTCACTTTTCGTTACGCTGCTACTTAAAGCCAGCTCAGTCAAGTTGAAGTCGCAAGTAATAGCTCCAGATTTCGACTTGCTATTGTTAGAGAAGTTGCTACCTGGTCCATAGTTGTTTGTTCCATCAGCTGGCGAGACTGTATATTGGCTGTTGAAAGCTTCTACCGAAGTAGGCATCTGCAATTCAAGAGAAATTGCATTCGCAATCAAGTTTTACCACGGGAATGTATCTAAAAAACATGCACATAGAGTTATAAACCATATGGTATCTTAGGTGAATTCATAAATATAACAAAATAAAACCTGATTAGCCTGCTGTGCTGACTGATCAGCATCAGAGTTCGATTCTTTAAAATTCTGACTGTCGGATTCTTTTTCTGATATGTTCGTAGGTTTTGCCATTGTAGTATCTTTTGATCCAAAAATCTTCATCACATCCAGATAAGGGTCCTTTTCAGCATCTTTGCTCATATTATCTTCCAAGAAGGGGTTTATACCATTTGGAACAAGTGATTTATTACCCTCATCTTCTTTAGTTGTATGATGATCAACAGAAATTTTGACGGCACTTTCAACTGATGAAGCTTTGGACTCACCAGATGAGACCAATTCACTGTCGACACCTTCCCTTGTGATTCTAGGCTGATGTTCGTCAGCAGCTAGAGAAATAGACGAGTCAGGCTGATCATATTTCCTGCTTTCAGTCACAATTTTATCCATGAGAGGTACACCCTCATCCATGCATATGTCTTTCATAATGTTATAGTCATTCTCTTTGTAGCAAATTGTCGATTCAGGCAATTCGAATTCCAGGACACCCTTATCGGTGTATAAATGAGTGTCTGCACCAAACAACTCCGAAAGAGAGGTAAATTGTGTACTAGAGACTACGGTTTCCTTTTCTTTATCGTCGAAGAAATTCACAATGATAGGGTCCTCAAATTTGGGAATACTCCAGGGGTGATCTCTATCTGCTGTATCACATGCAAAAGGATTTCCATTTCTCTTGCAAGAAGTTAAATGAGACGGGGCTTCGTCCGGATCATCTTTCAGAGGTGAAGCTCTATTTTCAAGTTTGTTACTTCTTGAAATATCTTCGATAAATACAGAGTCATCAAGTTCCTGGACATTCCAGAATTCGTTCTTCTCTTTTTCACACGCCAAAGAGTCTTTAGTGCTGTCACGACCGTTTGAATCAAGCAGATCTTTCGTTGGCAAGACTAAAGACTTGGAGTCCTTGCAACCATTTGAGTGAGTTAACATTTCATCCGGATTTTCTGTCATTGTAGCCTTCTTTTTAGCGTGTTAAGTCACTGTCATTGCATTCAAATGTTTCAGAAATCATGCATAACGGATACAAACAGATGATCGATTGTTACAGACGAGTTTAGCTTCTCAATGCAAGAACCAAGTTGAGACATGTGTATGGAGTCGTGTTTAGATGCAATTTGACAATATATAAAATTTAAGATGTAAAGCATTTCCATAACTAGACAAAGGATTTGAACAAAGTCAATGGATGAAACATGCATAAGATTAATCCACTTACGAGGTTGAAACATATGAAAGTTGTATCTTAGAAGCAGCGGCAAATGGCAAAAGTAAGATATTAGTACTCACAAGCTTTCAAGTAGTACATCAGTGGATCAAATCTTGAGAAACACACAGACGAAGTGAGGTAGATACAGCTCAGAAACCTGCGACAACAGAATTTACAAATATATTTAGGAGGAATTGACCCTTAAATAATTGTAACTTTAGCAACATCTTCGAGCTAATGAAGCAGCAGAAAACAACATTCGTAACAGGGAGCCTTCTATCATTATAATGAGAGGTCGGCAGCCAAAAATGCACTATAAATCAATCTAACACCTCCCTCAATCCCATGCTAATGACGAATATATGAATCCTCTATAACCAACCATACCACTCTATAGCAGGCGGAGCCAAAGGTTAAGAGTTTGGGGTTCAAAATCAATTCTGTTTGCGGGTTCACATGTTAATATACATATATTTATTTGATTTTCTAATACAACTATAGAGTCTACGAAAAAGCTAGTGAGTTCGTCCAAACCGATAAACCCCCACCTCGCTTCGCCTCTGAGTCCACCACCAACATACAGCTACCCTATTACAAGTCTCTGACCAAATACAATAGGAAGCCCAAAAAAGAAACTAGAATGGCAGTGAACCAGTCTCAAATACGACAGACTATCCATATCAACGGGTAGATCTAATGCATTTTGCGCTATAAACATGAGTAACTATTGAAAATAGTTCAGATCATCTATGATCAGTTCAAGAACAAATCAGCTGATTCTCAGTTACAAAGGATTCACACAAACTAACAATAACTTTTTTCAGAAAAAAACAAAAAAACAAAATTGCATAATAATCTCAATCAAATATAACAACATACCTAACGTAATCTCATAACTGATGTCAAGAGAGGGTGTTGTGCGCATACCGCCTACCTTAGACAGAGATTGTTTTTGATATACGCCAGATAAATAATCTCAACCAAATATGCCAGAAAATAACCAAAAAAAAAAAAAAAGTAAAAGCAAGAGGCCTCACTTCCTATACAACAAACCACTTTTTAATGCTTAATAGCCTAAATCATGTTCGCTTGTACTTTTCAAATCAGTTGTCGCTCTCCTATCAAATCCTTCAAAAATACACTATTTTATCAACTCTTTCTAAGAATCCGAGCAACATAGACCTAAACTACGTTAGATCCTAACTTTGTCAATCGATAATGAAAAAGACACATTTCACTTTGAAATTTTTGTACAAAGCTTTTTTTTATACAAATCCCATCTCCTAAGTCAAATGACAATTCCCCACCATTTATGTTTTGTCCTTTAGCTCTATTAAATAAATTAGTATTAATCACTTCTTACTAGATCCAATCCTAATTAGTAGTTATAATAATATTTTTCACCCCTCAAAAAAATTATTACTAGAAAACAATGAAAAAGGCCTTACATTCTGGTAGGTTCTTATCAGATCCCAAGAAAATTCACAATCTCATTATCAATAAATAATCTAGTTAGTATTTTAAAATTTTCTTTAATCATATGATTTACCATGTTCACTATATCAAAATATAAAAAATAAAGAGACAAAACCAACGATAATACTTTTCAAAAATATTATGGTACCTTAAAAAATGCACTATTTTTAGATGATCTGACACACGAGATTTTACAAAAAGATAAGTGGAGAAGAAAAAGGTAAATGAAGATATATAAAATCCTAAAATGTAAAATCAACACAAAAATATAGGGGAGAAATGGCAAGAAAAAGTCAGCCGTTTTGATTTTTAAAATATAGGAAATAAGAAATAATATGAATTGAATGTGAAAGAAATATAATTTTTAATTAAAACAACCGTTTTACTCTTGATCAAATTTCTCACATTCAAACTATCTTTTTCAAATAAGTTATATTTTACCATCTAAATTTAATCTAAGCTACGATTTAAACTTCAAACAAATCAATATGTTACTTACTCTCTCTCTAAATGCAATTAATACTCACTTATTAACTCTCGAAAAAGTTAATGTTTAATAGCGTAAAACATCATTTATTTTAAAACAAAATAAAAAAAAGCATGTATATTAACAAATAATAATAACATATCTACTAATATATTAGTTAATTGTAATCAAATATGCTTTAACATACTTACAAAGAATGAATATATTTATTCAACATTAAACGATTATCATTAATTATCGCTAAAAATTATTTTTTTCGCAATTTCACACAGAGAGATGAAAATTGGACACTCATTAATGTTTTTTTACAGAAAGAGGACAGCAATATTAACTATAAGATATAAATTAAAACAAACAAAAAAAAGAGTCGGTTTACCGGAAAAACAGATCACCGCCGTCCTCCGCCCTGTTCCGGCGTGTCGTAAGCTTAAATCAAATTCTGACTTAGATCTGGAAAAAATAGTATTTCCTATATATTTATATATAGTATAAATAAAATTTGAGTGAGCTTTAGAAAATATTAGAATTTTTTTTTTTAATTTTTGGAAGAGCTGACTTTAATTTTTGTATGGAGGGGAGAAGAGAGAGTCAAAAAAGCTGAAATAGGGACTCCCTTATTAAAGTGTACACTTTTTGGGTGCTACAAGTCAAGCTACTATTAAATTTTTCGAATTAATTTTAGTTCAAATGAATATGTATAATTGTATGAGAAATGTAACTCATCCATATAATAAATATTTTTTTTATATTTATTATTATATTTTATATATTTAAATAAAATTTTTAATAAATTTAAAAAATTATCGATGAATTCTTCGTATAACATATTTGGTCGGAGAGATTTTATTGCTTCTGTCTAATTTTTTTTTCCTCTTACGTTGATAATTTACCATAAATATATAGTGTTTTTTATTTATTTATGGGGTATCCTTTTTCTTGTATTATTATATATAGTCAATTTTACATTTTTATTTATTTATGGGGTATCCTTTTTCTTGTATTATTATATATAGTCAATTTTACATGTAGGTAATTTTATTGATGGTTATTTGGGACCATTTTTATTTCTGTTGTACTGCAAATTTTTCATGATGTCCCCACTACTTTTCTTCTTTTTCAACTACAATTATTTAGCCACTCGATTACTATATTTTTATCTAAATATTCGATATTTTTTTTTAGTTACACCTACTTGTCAATGCTCGTGAATTTATAAACCTAAGTGTTTGATATAATTGCTTGTGCATAGGGATGACAAATGGAGCGGGGCGAGTGGAAATTTTAATATTTTGTTCGAATGGCTGTTACGTATATTTGATATTATATTATATTATTTTATATTGTATTATTTTGATAAAATTAGTGTTTGAATAGATTGTATTGGTCTGTTACATAATGCCGTAAATTTGTAATTTGAAAACAAGGTAGGGTAAAGAAAAAAAAATAAAAATTATTAAATAATAAGTAAAGACAAAATGAAAAGAAAATATTAAGGTAACAATGCAAATACCAAATTGGTCATTACATAAATTGAGTCTTTTCATTATTATATAATAATGAATTTAAACGATACGATATGAGATAATTTAAATAACAATTAAAATAAACACTGTATTTAAACTGGCAACCGTCTAAACAAGGTGAAACTCATTTAGTATAACATAATCTCATGTTTTTCATAATGAAGATTCAAGGTTTCATATCGTCTGATTTTCAGCTTGTATTTTGATAATATTAAGCAAATTGTGATTATAATTATAAACTTTAAGTTAGACCTCTTATTGTGTTGCTTGTACTTATTTTAGGGAAAAACAAAAGATAGAAATTTTGTTTAAATTCCACATAAATGCGTGTGGATTATTAATTTTGGGAAAAATATATATTTTTAACTTTCTCCATCTCTAGCTTTCACTGATTCAACTAATCTAGACGATAGCTTAAATGAAGAAAAAAAATAAGTAATATTAAGTAAGGATTAAATGGAGAAACATTGTTATCAGTACGTAAAAATGTATATTATATCATCTAATTTATGACTTCAATATTATCGTCTTTGTCAATGTAAAACATAATGCATGAAAGTACTAAGACAGATTGAGACAAGGGTATATATATATAATTATAATTTACACTATATATATAAAATTAAAAACTAGTACTTTTTATGTGTGTGTATATAAAACAAATATTGAATATCTTTCGAAAGCGATATTGTTAAATCTACATCTAATCACAAAAAACGTATGGAAGTTGTTGACCTTTAACAACTTCACCAATAATAAGTAACTTGCTTAAGATTTTTGAAAGTCACCTGGCTTGCCAATTTTAATGTTCTGTGCACCTAGGAATTCAATAATCGCATTCTTTTGCCAGCTCTTGAAACTCCTGCAACGATATTCAAGTATAACAGATTATCTAACTGAGATAAACAATGAAATGATACATTGTTGCTTATAAGAACTACGGTTTTATCAGAGGTTGGAAGGCAACAATGTATCTCTATTCATTCTCTGAAGCCTGCAATGCTCATCATATCCTAATCTACTCTTTTTGGTTGTTTTGTACTCAACAGTCAAAAGAAAATTGTCCTACTTCAGTAGTAAACATGATGGGGAGAGGAAAAGGGAAAACTTTTCACCTGTGCCACCTTATGAAACCTACTGCCTGACTATTATAGTGGTGCACACAGGCTAAGGAGACTAATGACTGGTCTGGAGTGGTTATCTTGTCGTAGTTTCTTTTCTCTTGACAGCTGAAAAGTTTCTGCCAGAAATATCTTACAGAATCCTAATGTAGCGCTAACAGTGTGGATATATAATAGTTAAAGAGGATTTAAGTGATAAAAGCAAGTTCCTGGCTACTGTGTCATCAATGGAATTGTTTGAAGTGTTGGTGAGAGGAGATCAATTGCAACAGAGTCATGGAGAAGCTAGAAAAAAAGCCTCGGCATTATTGGATGAAGGGGAGTCATTATGATCCTGAAAAAGGACTCAAGACAAAGATTATATTGTTCTTTCCAGATAACAAGTCATTAGAAAAGCTCAGTCTTTTATTTAACATCAAGATTACGACAAAGAAAAATAAGATTTAAATATTCAAGGCGTTGAGAAGAATGAAGTCTATCGAACTTCGAAAATAAATAGCGTATGTAAATGTGCACTCTGATCCTGGAAAACTGCAGCTTCTTCCATTTTAAGATCATATTTTCATTTTCTATCATGGTTATTGCTGTCAAAACATGCTCAAATAAATGGTCGCCCAATAAAAGAATGAAGATGGATCACTTGGAAAATATAAGCTTACTGAGATGGTCACTCTTTGATGTAACATATTTTCACTGTCTTAAAATTCGTATCTAGTCAGTTCACCCTGGCTCTAAAAAGTGGTCCTTACGCTCCATAGTGGAAGAGGTAGATTCAGTGAAAGTTCAAGTGATACTAGTGCAGGTTAGATATTGGTTTATTTCTTTTTATTCTTTCATAGTGTAGAACCAAATATAAAAAAACAGATCTTTTTTTTGTTTCAAATTAACTTACTTCTGATCAAGATGTGCCAGAATTTCTCCACCAGGAAAACCTGCTTTAGTAGCATCATATGCTGCTCTAATTGAGTGTTTCCAAGTTCCGGCAATATCATGTGCATTTACTTTACCTTTCGATGGACCAGGATCTTCCATTGGTAAGGAGTAACCAGAGAGGAGTTGGCCCACCCAACAACCGTCCTTCCTGTGAGCGAATGAAAACAAATTAAAACAAACTTGTGCTGGAGTATAGCTTCTATTTCATAATGTAGCAACTTTGGATCACTTAATGCAGTTGGTGTAAACTAAGCTAAAGAGTCATTAGGTTCTAAAAGAGCAGCTTAAACAAATCAACCATTGTATAATCTGCTCAATAGATAACTTGAAAGCAAAGTAAGAAGATACAGAAAACAAAGCCTTTTACAGTTTAACTATGCCAAAGTTCTAATGCAAAATGATCACATATATTCCAAAGGCTCCAATATCAAAGATATAAAGGTAATAAACAATTTAATAACCAAATTACTTACTTTATCACATCTGTATGTCGTGGCACATAATGTCCTCCACCAATCCCTAGAAGGACTTTGTTATTTGCAGACGTACTGGACGGCAACGAAATGACTTGTCAATTAAGAATAATACAGAAGACATAGTTTACAGACATATAAAATTAACAGCTAGATAATATAACCAATCATTCAAACTATAGTCTGTCTATCTAATCTCAAAGAATTAAATTGTTAGGTGCAAAATAGAAATAGTGGACAACAAATCCATAGGACTGACAGAACAGAGATTAACAGAGTCTGGGTTTACCAAATCCACTCCTGGATCAAAATCAGAACCAGGAAGTGCAAAAGTTGGTTAACCTCTTGATTATCATGCAGGTCACAACTCACATTGGACCATTTTACACTTTAAAAAGAAGGCTTTCTCATGCTCCAAATAGGAGATCATATTCTGCTTTGTTGCAGCCTCATTAACAACATGTGGCTTCTTGCTGAGAACTTCCAAAGTTATAAAGAAGAGCACAACTGCATAAGGCTTGTGAAGGCTATGGGAGAACAAAAAAAAAGGTCTTGAAGAAACATAAATTTCTTCTTGCTTCATTTTAGTTCAATAATACATGGGAGCAGCTTCAGAAGAAAAGAGTAGAAAGATACTCTGAAGATGATGCTCTAAATCCAGAAAAGAAACTTAGGTAGGATGCCGGTGCACATTGACTCAGCGGTGTCGATATTTGATTATTACATAATTTTGTAAGTAACTGGAATGTAATGAGCCTGTCGGTAATATATTTTTTTATGACAAGGGAACCCGCAGCCGCTATCCTTTGAGTGAACAGAGGTTAAAATCCCCGCTCCTATGCAATAACTTGCAAACCACACAGGAGAGGTAACCCGCACTAGGCAATCCCGGTGCGACGAGCTTGACCCAGAAGGCAAACCCCTGGGTCGCATGTTGATGGGAACAGAAGACCAATAAGATGCAAGGGAAGAAAAATAAAGAATTATGAACCCAAATATGAGAACTGAAAAAAAAGAAGAAAAAAAGGGAGCTCTCTCTGCCTCTGAAATCAATGCTAGCAGTAGTAAAAGTAACATAAGGAAGAATGTGGGTTTGCAATATAAATGTGTCCCCAAAACTTCACCTTTGCAGTACTCAGTTTCTTTTCATTGCTTTAGAGGCGGGGTAAGGATTAGGACGCTGGCGATACACACACTCAATTCTAACAATTTACTTCGTCAGAGAGAAGAGAATGCTAGCCAAAAGAAGAGCCTAGGATGTTTGAGGGATATAGGGGAAAAACTTGCAGATGTAAATGATACCTGCTCCAGTTTCCAACAGGAGGACCTCCTCCAAGACCAAGTCCTTCCCAGACTAACTGTTAGTACAACATATATGTGTTAGAGAAAATCAAAATACGTAAGCGTTGATGTTTTTGGATAGACCAGACAGATACCATAAGAAAACTAAATAAACCAAAGAAAGTCCTTAGTGGACTAACTAAAGTTGCAAATATAAGACTTTCAAGATAGCAACATCCTTGACCAGTAAAACAGCCAATAACAAAGTAAAACTCACCAGAGCAACAACTTGAGCAGTATGTGTAAATAATTTTTCTCGCACATTCTTGCTAAATATGGCTTGAAATCTTATCATCTTCAAGGCAGTTATCCACATGAACAACATGTTTGAAACTGATGCTTGTGTCTTAATGTGTATGTAGTATGCCAGTACCAGCACAGTTTCTATTAGTCCTTGTTTAACCTATGCAGTCAAAACGTGTCAAATGTTGGATAGCTATTTATCTTCATTTGCTCCACTTTGTTGAATTTTATGTAAGTTGAAAGATTATCTTAGTTTTTTTCTCTTCCCTTCATTAACAGAATGAGCAAGCAGAACAAAGAGGAAGTTCTGGATAAAGCAGTAAAAGATTTGGCAGCTGTGACTGATCAATATTTGTCCCGGCTAGTTAAGGAACTGCAAGGGACTGATTTCTGGAAGCTAAGACGAGCATATTCTCCTGGGGTGGGTCAGTTGGTCTTATTTTGCTTCTGAAAACTTGGAAATATTCTTATTTGACTTAGCTTGTATGCTCTTCCAACTTGTAGGTTCAAGAATATGTTGAAGCTGCAACACTTTGTAATTTCTGCAAGACAGGGACTCTATTAACTCTTGATGAGATGAATGCGACCTTGCTCCCATTAAGTGATCCTTCTGTTGAACCCTTGCAGATTAACATCTTAGACTATATCTTAGGGGTAAGCGTCTCATCTGTTTGTATTTTTCAAGTTAAGCAATGCTTAGATATATTGTCATATTGCTAACTTTTCCACTTTAGCTTGCGGACTTGACAGGAGAATTAATGAGGTTAGCAATCGGTCGAATTTCAGAAGGGGAACTTGATTTTGCAGAGAAGATCTGCAGTTTTGTGCGTGAAATTTACAGGAACCTTACTCTTATTGCCCCAGAGATGGATGATAGTTCAGACATGAAACAGAAAATGGAAACAATGCTCCAGAGTGTGATGAAGATAGAAAATGGTATAGTCTTCAGCTGTTGTCTACGACCAACTTCTTTCTCTTTGTACCTTAGTTCTAACTACTAAATTACAGCTTTAGGACAGGGTAAACAAAACTGTTTTTAAGCAATTCTGTTAGCAATAATCTCTTTGTTTTCAGTTTCAGGGGTTTGTTCATTTTGTTATTCAAAATATGTATGTGCTCTGGCTACCGAATAATTTAAATCATTTTCGTGTGTAGTTCACCTGTGTGTTCCTTGGATAATTACTATAATATATGTTCTCATTCAATGTTTGACACTTTGACTAATTTACATCTGAGTAATATATTCAAATTTTTTTTGTTGCACTAGGTAGTCGGGTAATTCAGATTCCATCTGGATTCTGAATAGGAGACTTGATATTTCTTATGTTACTCTGGTGTTTCCTGCAGTTTTTACTTGATATTTTACCTTTCATCAAGTATCATATTTTAAAACAAAATGTTTGCGTTTAATTATTGTTCTAGTTTGATCTGGTGCAGTGAATATCTGTATTTAGTTCTGGACAAAGTGGATAAGTAGTTAGTTACTAGTAACTGAATCTGGAAAAAACTCAAGGCGTATCTCTTATGCAACTGATTGTTCTGCAGCTTGTTTTAGTGTTCATGTAAGAGGATCGGAGTATATTCCCCTTCTTGGACCTGCTGATACCAGTTATCCACTGTTGGGCATGCCAGACATTGAATGAAGAAGTAATTATCTACTTTGTTAGTGTGTTTACAGAAGTTATTATGCCTTGTACTAAATTACGCTGCAATTTCTTATTGAAGGCAGAAAGATAAGTTCTTGTTTGCTGTTGAAGTTGTTGATGCAGCTCTCCCAGCCTGCATATACACACGGGGCAGAGCGTCTTTGTTGGGCTGCACTTCCGCATGTGCTTTTGCAAGGTACTTTGGTGCAACGATTTGCATCTTCGTATTTGAATTGACACATTTTGTAATTACTCCAGTCCACCTAGTGAACTTTATGCGACTTTGTAGCGGAGATTGTATAGCTTACAAGTACTCTATTTCCTCCTACTGACCTACAAGATGGATACCTTTTTTGCGAAATCGTTGCCAGAGTTTGTTTTCTGAGATGATTTTAGACTAGTACACACTCTTTATTTACCCAGAAGGTATTCTGAATCAATGTTCTTTTTGTTGTTATTATTGTATTTCATAGCTTTGAAACTTAGATCTTCTATCTGCCTTAAAAGAGGACATATGTTGATTATTTTTTGGCTTAATACATAGTCAACCCGTTAAACAATATCATACTCGGTGAAATTTCACAAGTGGAGTTTGGGTAAGGCAGAATGCTCACAGACTTTACCACTGCCTCGTGGAGGTAGATTAAATGTTTTTTCAAGACCCTCGGCTCAAGTAAAGAGGCAACCTCTTAAACTTGTTAGGATATTCCCTTTAGACACTCAAACTAAGTCCTATTTCAATTTAACATATATTGATTTTTACTTATTCACTTTTAGCAGATCATGAGAAACACAATCATTTTCTATGTTCATAGAAATTATATTCTCCCTCTATTTCAAAAGATATGACCTAGTTTGACTTCAAACGAAGTTTAAGAAAAAAAAAGACTTTTTAATCTTGTGGTTTTAAACATAGCACGTGGAAAGTTAAAGTATTGTCAAAAAAAAGAAAATGGGCCATTATTTTTTAAACAGATTAAAATGAAAACAGGATCATTCTTTTTGAAACAGATAGAAAAATATCAATTAATATAGTAAAACATATACTTCATGAGCATGATTATATTGGAGTGAGTATAAATAAATTCTTAGCCTTTTTTTTTTACCTGTATAAGCTTTTATATTCTGATGAGATTCTTAAAAGCAAAAGCAAAAAGGAAGTTTTGTTGGGAATGTAATTGAACTGTTGATGCTGTGGCTAGGTTTTCACAGCTTCCCCTAAGTTGTTATCTTGGAAATGTAATAATTAGTTGTAAATTTCCATAGCTAAAAAACAAAAATATCATGCTATTCCAATTTAGCTTATAGATTAGCTACGAATTATATTACCCAAATAAAATTCAGTTAATTTGGGACTATTTAGCGATGAATTAGTTGGGAATTACCAATAAATTTCTGAACTAATTCCATATTTTCTAGTAATCAAATTTAGATTAATAAAATTAGCTTAGTAAATACATTCTTAATAAAAACTCTGTTAAAGATTAATTGTACAAATGAGCAAGTAGAATAAACCCTACAAGATAATTAAAATTTGTGAGTGTGTAACTATAAATTATTTTATTAAGTGGAATTGTTACTCCTTTGGTATAAAAAAAGAATGATCTACTTTTTTCCCGTCTGTTTAAGATACAATAAAACCTTTTCTTTTTTGACAATACTATTATTTCAATTTTTCATGTGACATGCATGTTTATGGCCATAAGATTAAATGACATTTTGGTATTTTTGACATAACCTTAATTTAAGATTACAAAATAGAATTTTTTTTTTGTACTTACTTAAACTTCGAGTCAAGTCAAACTGATAGATCATTCTTTTTTAAATAGAGAGAATATTAAATAAATATGAAAATATGTCATTTTTCGAAGACTTACTACTTCCTCTGTCCCATTTTATATGAGTTAGTCTGACTCAATACAGAATTTAAAAATAAAAAACTTTTGAAATATGTGATCTAAACTAAATGATAAATATTTATGTGATTTTAAAAATGTCATCCTTTTTTTTAAAAATAACTGATAGACTACACGGAAAAGCAAGTCAAGCATTGTGTGAAAAAACAATCAAAGGAATATCAGCATCACAAAGCACATATATTTCTTGAGCTTTCTTCACCAAACCAACTCTTCTTTAATTCTTAATAATTTACCTAAAAATAGAAACCCTAAACTTGTAGTTTACCTCACACAAAGGAATTAACCCTTCTTTTCTTTTACAACAAAAAATGAACAAAAACCCATTTTTGTGAAAATGTAAAAAAAACAAACTATCACTCACTACTTATTCATGTTTGACTTGGACACTCAAACACTCATTTTATCTCCTCTAAGCTATCTAAATACTAGAAATCAAAAGAATACTAACACTTAATAAAAATGTTTTTAAGTTTATATATAAATATGTTAATGAGTTACATACAAGTTGGCTAAAAACATTCTCACTAAACTTATTACACATAAATAACCTAATTAGTGTATTAGAGATAAGTTACATAAAATAATAAATTAGTGAAGCATGAAAATGGAGAGGAATATTAGGTTAAGAGAGGTTGTCTGTCTGAAAAAGCAAGTACATGATGATAATAAAAGGATAAGACAGGATATGGGAGACAATGATAACCACAAATAACTAATGGATGTATGTGTTTAAGGATTTGTTGTCTAACATTGATTGGATACACCAAGTGTTTCCTTTAGTGTATGTTGGATATACTATCAACCCTAACAGGTATTACACAAGTTTTAACTCTACTTACCTCACTCAAATCTTTAATTTGTGCCTCTTTTTCTCACTTTTCCAGGGCTATGGACATCATTGCTCTCATGTTTTTGGAGTCCGTATAGGAATTTCGATTAAATATGAACCACACACTGTAGAGTCCATTCAGAAAGATACTTTCAACACCACTTTCTCTATGTTATAGTGAGGGTGTCCAATTGGACACTACTCAATTAATACCATATATATAAATAAAGTAATATATGAAATGATTAAATAATTAATATATTCTGAATACCCTTTGACAGAATAAAATGTTGTAGCTCGACGTTTTTAGGTGTCTTGAAAGAGCCGGCCGGTGCTCACTTTGGACACTCTCCGTGAAATTTCTGGCTGCACAGACTAGTTTTCTCTATACCCAAAGTTCGAACATGAGACTTTGTGATAAAGGATTGACACAATGGCATTCTTTCTTTTACTTTCACTTTCCTTGGCTTCTTTTTCATTAAGCTTTTACAGCTAGCTAGTACTAACTATACTCTAAAATGTTTAGTCATATGGTAAACTTTGAACTTGATAACACGTAGAGATTGAAGACAAATTAGATGATCAACATGAGTAAACAAGGCCATATATATACTGCTCCCTCCGTTTCAAAAAGAATGATCTCCTTTCATTTTTAGTCTGTTTAAAAAAGAACGATCTCTTTCTTTTTTTGGTAACAACTTTCCACGTGGCATGTTAAAGACCACAAGATTAAATGGTAATTTTGTACATTTGACGTAAATTACATTTAGGACCGCATGATCAAAAGTCTTCTTTATTTTTTTAAACTCCGTGTCAAGTCAAATTAGACCGTTCATTGTGAAACAGAGAGTAATATATAATTGCAATTATCATTACTCACATATTTACTTTGAAGTTATGTAATCTTAAGCTCTCAAATCACTCGATGAATTACTATCAAAACAAGAAGTAGAATAGATAATGTAGTCCCCCTTCAATGATATCATAGAAAATTGAAACGATAAAAAAAAGATTAGTATGAATATCACGCACAAGTCGAGAAATGGTCCAAAATAGAAATGTATGTTTGACTTATTACATGACATATTTATATATATATCATTATAGTTTACTAAACATGCAAGCTAGTTAGTCTTTGAAACACAAAAAACTCAACTTGTATGTATGCAAGAAATTACATTTATTGGTTCTTAGTTTCCAATCTCAAACTTTCAACCACTTAATTGCTTGTTTCCCATTCAAAGCATCCATCCTGGTAAAATTCCAGTAGCATTCTGTGTTGATGGTTCTATACTATCCAATGGAGCCACATTGTACCTGTACTTACATGAACTTCAGATTCTGAATTCGCCCCTACAACAACGCTCATCAAATACATTAAGAAATTAATTTGAATTGATCCATATATAATATACTTTCGTCTCTCGACTTCCAACATAACTCGCTTTAGAAATTATTTTGAATGTATGTATTTAGTATTACTTTAGGTTTTGAATTCGTCTCAAACTTTACAAAACGACTCACTTCAATAAATACACAAAGAGATTGATTCGACTGTATCTATTACTTTAGATTCTAAATTCACCTCTAGACTTACGACTTGACTCACTTCGATAAATACACAAAGAAATTAATTTGAATGTATCTGTTACTTCAGATTCTGAATTCACCTCTCAACGACTCAATTCAACGGTTCAATTTAAAATGTTGCAAAAAATATGCTATTTAAAGGAAAAAAAGAAAACATAAAATTATATGTTACCTGTTTGGCACTATATTAGTATTGCATTGTAAAGGCTGAAAGAACCCCTCTGACTGAGCAGGTTGTTGTCTGAATTGTACATTTTGCTCTCCAGTGATATGCCAATGTGCTACAGAGTTTTCTTCCAACTATTATAAGAATTTCATAAAATCGCGTAAAAAGTACGATAAGTTAGACATCAAAGAAAAACCCATACGAATCTAAATATCCGAAATGGAGAACAAATTAGTCATATACCCTAAAACAAAGACTAAGGGTGTGTTTGGTATGAAAAATAATATTTTCCATGGGAAAATGTTCGGTTTCTTACTTATTTTCTTTTATTATGTACACAAATAAAAAGTGTCATTCTTGATACATTTTTATATAATCTAAACAAATACTGCGAGAGGTGGTGGCGAACTTAAGGTGTGTAGGAAGATCGAGAGAAAACAATCAACGTGGAATGTCGTCACAACTTGTTTTCCCTACTTCCACTGGCTAAGTCATTTTTAAAAAACTTACTTTCATAGAAAAAAGTATTTTCCCAGAATTTAGATCAACCAAACATGAAAAAATTCAGAAAAAATAAATAAATCAAACACGCCCTAAAAAACTCATAAAAGGTCCAAAATGTGTGCTTTGTACCTTTGTTTTCAAGGATCTGTTGATTTCAAGAAGAGATTGTTCCTGTAGAAAAAAAGAAAAAAGAACACATACAATGTCAAATTAACAATTGAACAATCTATTTAATTGTCAACTTAAGGGATTATATTATACAATACATACCTTTTGTTGAAGATCAGAAAGTTGATCAAGCATGTTTTGTGTCTGAAAACATATATGTTATCAAAGAGTAGGTTAACAACTTCTTTTACCAAATCATGCAACCAACTATTTACCCTTTAATTATTTATAATTAGCATGTAAGTTGATGTTAGTAATAAAAGAGAAAGTAAATTTGTGTATGTTTTTGATACATGTTTACTTAGGATAAATAATACAAAAGTTACAATAATACACTTACTTGGTAATCTTGACTTACCTTTAGTTTAAAAAAAATATATTTTCAATTTCAATTTTTTTGATCGTTCCTATTGTTTCCTTTGATTAGTCATCTCGTGCATCTATATCTTTGATTGCATGTCTAGACTTTATGTCTGTACCCAAAAATATTAAGGAGGCTTTGATCATTCTGAAGCAATGCTTGAGTAAATTCATGCCAAAGATTATAATGAATTATGTAAAATAAAAGAACTTATTTTAAGGTTTAGTAGTTTTGTGGCACTATCAAGTAATAGTAAGTAATTGTTATTATATTATTCCATTTGGATATTATTCATAAGTAATTTTTATCATTTTCCCAACATACCTTTGATAAAATTATATATTACACCAAATAGGGCAAAATTAAGTGTTTTTTATATATATATAAATTGTTGAACCCCGTTGATACGAGGTTAGATATTAGTGTATTTGTAAAGAGGTTCAATGTCTCAAGTTCAAATTTCAAGTCTGACATTCTATAATATATAATATTGCTTGAATTGTCTTGCATAAATTTCTAATTCCGCCACTGAAACTGTCATCGGACATTAAGATTAAGACATGATCTGAAAGCCTAAAATTTGACAAATAAATTGAAGGTGCATAGAACATACCCTTCTTGATCTTATTAGCCTCAAAGATGAATCCAGTTGACGCTCAAGCTGTTCCAAATCTTTTGTGTTTAATTGTCCTAAGTCCTCTCCAAGTATATGCCTTAAAGATTAAGAATAATTAAGTAAATACAATGTTATTAAGAATTAGGGTAGAAAAGTGATATATTTGAGACACAAATATCATATTAAAAAGCCTCCCCTTAATTTATTTTACGAGGTCTCATCTAAACATCCTGAACCTGATCAAACAAACGCATGATTGAACATGTCCAATTATGCATGTTCAAAATACTTCTAGACCGGTTCAGGTGTTCAGATGAGCCAATCAAAATGAGACAAGTAAAAGTGTTTTTAAAACAAATAATGTATCACCTTTGTGACTGTTGTAGCACTTCAACTCTTGCTTTCAGCTTCATATACTCTTGGTAGTTATTCTATTGCATAATAACACTAATTAGTTAGATGAAGATAGGGTGCTTGGCGTTAGTTATCAATATCGACTTATTAATTATTTACGAAGAAATTAAAATAAAAACAGATAATCTGTTATAAAAGGTTTAAATTGCATCGATACTGTGTCAGAGTATATAAGTTAAATTTATTAGTAAATTGTAATTCTGAGGAAGATGAAGTAACCTGTGAATCCTTTGAAGACTGGCCAGTTTCAAGGTCACCATAGCTGCATCTATGGTATCTCTCCAGTGTATCAGACATACTAGAAGAAAAAAAAGAAGACAAGTTGCACAAAAGTGATAATTTGATTTAGAGGGATTTTCAACTTATTAAAGGATCATACTTTATTTACTCTTTGGCAAGAAGTGTAATTATTACTAGTTTTTTTAGCATGTTACAAAGTATAATAATAATAGTAACATTTCAGTATAATCTCATAAGTGGGGTTTGAGAAGAATGGAATATACGTAAACTTTATTTCTATCTCGTGAGAAGTTGTTTTTGATAGACTCTTTCAGCTTATGAAAAACAATTTCAAAACTAGGTTTAGCCAATACAAGAGTAAAAACTATGATAAAAATACGATAGACAAAAAATTAAAGTCCATGAAGTAAAAATAGTACAGACAATCCAAGTAAAAGAAACAACAGTAATAATAAAATAAACATAGAGATAATAATAATAATGATATTGATAATAATTAGAACTATGCTCTCCTTGAGGAAAGAAAGAAAGAAAATTGTTTAAATAAAATTAGTTATAAGTTTCAATGTCATTTATTATTAACAAAAAAATTGTATACTTGATCCAAATAAAAAAATCAAGTTTAAGCATATTGAAAATGTTTAGATTACAAATATCGAGTAATAAGTATACGCTACTATGATAACTCATTAATATTAAACTATTGATTTACTCATTAGTTAATATTCTTTAATTATAATTATCCAATAAATGACTTGATAGTATAAAAAAAACACTATATTGTCAATGCATAGAGGTTACATAAACCAATATTATTTCTACTAAGTTATTTGATCTTGATTATGCTTTCTTAAAATTGTTAATTATTATAACTTAAAATACTTCTTATACATGATTGAAATTATAAACAAAAATTGATTCGTAAAACTCGAATCACATAAATTATAACAGATAAGAGTAAATGACAAAATTTGTCGGTTCAAGAACATTACTATCAAAATTAGATGAAAGGCAAGACCCTAACTTTAAGAAAAAGACGATTTAGATGGTCACTCAATTAATAAGTTTGTTATTTAAAAAAATTAATATTATTTTTTAATTTCAATATAATTTTTTGGGATAATGATTATTAATTAAATAATTTTTTAAATAGAATTGATCAACTCCAGAAATTACTTCAATCCACAATACAGAATTTTCTATATAAATTGAGCTTAAATGAAAAGTTAAAGGATTCATATCGTCAATTCCGACTCGATAAGTAGTTAGGTGTTATTTGTTGCCATAAATAATAAAATCAAATTCCTTTTCAAAGTTTTTAGTTGTTTTCAAAAACTGAAGATAGAAATTCAACCAGCTTTAATTCAATTCATATTATAAAACTTCTTTTTGATTCATGTGTCTGTACTTAAAAGAACATATAAAAGTAAGGATATTTTAAAACTTATTTATTTATAATAAAAATAAGAAAAAATGGAGGTGGAACATCAAATCATAACAAAATTTACCTCATAAAATGAACTAATTTTTTTAACAATTTTAATGTTCAAGAAAACCTAGATCTAATCAAATGAAACATTTGATTATTCACCCTTAATAAATGTACCAAAAACTCTATTCTCACTCAGATCTATAACATCAATATATTTTATTTCTTTTTTTAAAAAAAAAGAAGATAACAAAATCATAATGCATATAAACATTCGTTTAACCATAGATTTTGAAATTAAATCTCAAAATTTCAATTTTTTAATACATTTAGAACTAATTTAAAGTTTTGCGTATAAAAACGTAAATGTAAAGCTTAAACGGAACGACATAAACATAAAAATATTACCTAGAGGTACTGCAAAATTCATAGAGTTTGCCTCTATTAGAGAAAATGATAAGAGCAACTTCAGCTTCACACAAAATAGAAAGCTCATAAGCTTTTTTGAGTAATCCATTTCTTCTCTTAGCAAAAGTAACTTGCCTGTTTATCTTATTTTCTATTCTCTTCAATTCTACCTTACCTCTTCCCATTATAATATTATTATAAAATATAGTATCAAAAATCTTATATTATAATCTCAAAATCTAGTCATGTTTTGATAAAAGGAAAAGAAAAAAGGCTATGTATAATAGGATATTGATAGTGTAGTTATGGTTTTGGTTCTTTTTTCTGTCCTTTTGTTCTTAGGGTAATAAATAAATAGCTTTGTTGGGCCATGGGGTTTCCTAATATTACAACATTGTATCTATTTTTCTTATATCTGACGTATAAGGTATAATAATTTCAGGATAAATTTTATCGTGTGTTTAGTTGAAAGCTTAGGTAGTTATTCTTAGATTATTTCTCCTACCCCATTTATATTTTAATAACGGAATATGTTATCTCATATGTATAGCAAATAAAATAATAACTTATTTTGAAGTAATTAATTAATTCTGAAATAATTTATTCACGATCAAATGATCCTTATTAATATTACTTTAGACCCTTTTAAATATTGCATTTTTGGTAATTCTGCAAACTGCTTTTGTTATTTCTTCTGCCTGTGTCCCTTGTCTCTCTATAATTAATATATAAGTAAAATGTGTTTTGATGTTTAGGGCCAAAAAAAGAAGACAAGTCAATACTATTAACCATTATTATTTTTGGTTTCTCACCAACTAACCTTTTAATATCAAGTTTTTGCCCCTATTTTGGGGTGGTATTTAATTTGTATCAAATTACAAAATAAATAAAAGGAGACATAAGTTTAGAATTTTTTTTAGGTATAAGTTGTGTAGTACCTAATTTGGAAGACATAAGTTAAAAGAATTTTGAAGTTAGATTGATTTGGAATCAAAATTAAAATTTTATTTAAATAGGTAATTAGATTATAAAAAATAATATTTTTATTGGAAAACAACATAATTTGTTGAAAACTATTAAATATTATGAAAATTTTAATTATATATTTTTATACAATTTTTTAAATGAGTAAATCACGATTCGTAAATAAAGTATCAGAAACGTTTGTAATTACATTTTATTAAAAAGTTTCCAATTCTCATTATTTTATAAACTACTAAAAATAAAAGTTTTTCCCACATTTCCATTTTAATGGAAATTGTAAGACATAATATTAAAGGTTGTAGGTATTTGTATCCCTTACTGGGATTGGGGAGTGTTTGAAAAGACCTTTATATGGAGATACATTATTAGCCCCTTATATTGGAAATATCATATCTATAAAATTCAAAAGTTAATTCATGACGAAAAAAAATATCTAAATTATATTAAAGAGATCACATATTTTTTCTAGCTATGACTGGACATATAGTGCGTGGATAATTTTAGTATGAAGATCTAACATCAAAAAGCAAGAATGGGATGAATCGTGTATTAATATCATGTAAGGAGCGAACTCATAAGAAAAAAATTGTTCAGATCATATTAAAATATATACCAATTCTTAAACCATCGAGACGGAGACTTTTCACAAATTACATACATACTAGACATTATAAATATCTTTTTACATCATCAATATATAGTATAGGTAAGTATATCTTACTACACTATCAATTTAAATTCATCAATAATTACTGAACAAATAATTCGATCGTGAATATCTTTTACACTGTCAACACATATAATTGCAAGTCGAAAAGTATTTAGCAATCAAGGGTTTTACAAGAATTTTTGGTGCTAATAAAATGTATAACAACCTTAAATGTTGTTTGTTTTTCCTTAAACAAGACATAGCACACTCCCCCTTGATGTATCTTTTTGGGACATACCACATGTTTCTGTTACATAAGTTGGATATTTTGATATTAGATACCTAAGAATGTGTCATCATGTTACTCCATACATATCAAACAATATTTCACTTCAATTTGAAATATTTAAAATCAAGATTTGTAATCACATAAACTAAAATACGTTAACGTAATTAATCAATCTTGATTCAACACAAATATTAATGAGAGAAAATATTGATTCAAAAGATAAAAGCACATAGTGTATGGGAATTGATATTCAAATACCTAAGTTGAATATCACAATTCATAAATATCAATTAGTACACTCATTTCATAAATAAATAAAATATAAAATTAGATAAGTGCCTATTTTATATTAATTTTCATAGTCTTTATATACATTCCATCAAATATGACCTATATATATTTTATTTATTTATTGGTGAAATACATATTGTCCATTCTTTTGGAGATGGGTATATTCTCTGCTAAAAAGATGGAGCTAAGTAATATTGGATTATTCTATTCTCTTATCTCTTTTTGGTCGAGAATCTACAATTACATCTTGAAATAAGAAATGACATATTAGAATAAAGTTCTTTTTTTGCATTGTATATATGGTACTCTTACACAGACTAATAATTTTATTCCAAAATTGAAAATATTATTTTAATATAATGAAAAAGAATTTTAATATAATGAAAAAATATAGATGGTTTTAATAAAGAATAAATATGGTTTCCTTCTACTTTTTCTTACATCATCAAAATAAAAAACTAAGCAAATAATATAAATGATTCATTTTTAAATAAACTCTCTTCTATCAACATGGTTTATGGTTAATCAGAGGTCTTGAGTTCAAGTCTTGGGTATGGAGAAAATCATGTTGGAAGCACCCCCGCCCCAAATGAGCCCTTCAGAGCGTCTTCCGAATTTAGTCGAGACTTCAATATGAATTTTGGACACCGAGTGAGAAACCAAAAAAAAAATCTTTCTCCCCTTCCACTTAATTGTGTATGTTTTCTTTTTGCTTTGCTTGACTAATTTGTAAATCCATGAAGATCCAAATAATTAGTGGTCCTTATCACCCTACTCAACCAAATAGAGTGATAATAAGATCGTTGGACTTCTTATAAAGCTTAGACATTAATTCTTTTTTATTTGACCTAGCATTTGAGGTTATAGTTCGATAAAAGATCTAATTTTACATGATATCATAGCAAGATCTGTTAGTGTACTATACCACAAATATAATATATTACAGTTAAAAATAAAATGACAAAAATGAATAAACAAATTATTAGACTTAGGCGCGATATCTCGCTCACTTTAAAGAGATTTAAGCTCACTTTGCGACATAATCTATACCGATGTAGCGGTATAACTCTTGACTTGTTCCCTTCCGAATACAATAACCTAACAACGTTGTACAACTCAAACAACTTCGAATTTAGTTAAAGAGTCCAAAGATCCACAAACAGAATACCTTCTTTAATATATAATTACTCTCTTTTATATTGCAAATATACATAGTTAAAGACTTAAAATACTTTTCTTTATCTCAACTCTCTCTTTAACTACGCTAACCTCAATATAAAGTTGTTCATCTTTTCTTACATTATTTGTCTTCTCCCAATACAAAGTAAGACCACACTAATTATAGGCAAGAATTCTTCCTTGTAATTGATATTAATATAAAAATGTTACATGATGGATTATTTGTCAAAAATTCCTCAATAATAACCACATTCTTATCAATTCATTCTCACTAACATATGAACTTAATATTTTAATTTTAATATTGAAATGCATAAACACCAACATGTCCATCTCACTAATGTGAGGCCGTAAAAATAAAAATTGGATAACTGATAAGATAGTTGAATTTTTTTATAAGATTTGAACACTCCTACTTCTTTGAGGTAGGGATCGGATCAAATTTTATATAATATCAGAACATGACATATCTCAACCAATAATAGTTAGAGAAATAACATACTCTACGAAAACCCAAAGTAGGAAATTATGCAAACAAAATATCGACACGTTTTTGTACTATTAACCATTAATGACAACAATTGTCTTTAACAACAGTAACTAATTTACACAATCATCATCATAAGCTTTAAATTTTAATTTTAATTCTATTAAATATTTGCAAATGTCCATTGAACCACACGTCTTATTTAGTGTCATAGTAATAAAAAAAATGTTGTACTCAAAACTGCTAGTTCAAAGCACACATGCAGTTGATTAAATAGGATCAATTCAAATAGTACTAAAGTTGTTAAAATAGAGTAATTTCTTTAGATTAGTCAAATTAATTGAAAGCTAACGGTTAACATCTTTAGGTAAAATATCTTCACAAAATTTTAATGAATTCCAACTTTTGGGACACCAAAATTAAATACATGTTATTTTTATTTTTACGTATTTATTATATTATACACAAAATCTAATTTTACATGATATTAAAACATGATATATGTCAGTCAATATTAAGTCTACACACCAGATGCTAAGCACATAACGTGATGCGGTATCCTAAACAATAACAAAAATATCATATTAATATAGATAAACTCCTTATAAAACTTAAGCGCGTGAGTTACGTTCCAAATCTAATATTATTATTTTTTTTTCAAAAAGTGTATTTACTACTAGTAGTTACCAATTTATTTTTTAAAAAAAAAAAAGTTTAAGTGAACAACATATGAAAACTCAAAGTAGGAAATTAAGCAAACAAAATATCGACACGTTTTTGTAGTACAAGCATGGTTTTCTTAACCATTAATGACAACAATTGTCTTTAACAAAGTAATTAATCTCTTTATAACAGACGCACATCTACAGCCATCATTATAAGCTTTAATTATAATATCTGTAAATGTTATTTCTACTTTCATATACATATTAAAATTATTTTTTCCGTTCCAAAATAAATAATATATTTAGTTTTGACACTAAACATAATATATATATATATATATATATATATATATATATAAAGTAAAAATATTTTTTCTAACTTATTTTTGAAGGCTATTCTTTCTCTCAAATAACAACGTCATCTATCCAAACCCAAACACAAACAATTTCAAACATGATATATTGCCAAAAATTCTTAGTATTCGTAATCGACATCCAACCATCATGAGTCGATTGAACTATATATCTTATTTAGTCAGAAATTTTGCTGATAGTTATATATATCTTTAGAAGATTGTTTTTAACATATATATATATATATAATATTATTTTCGATATACATAATATAATTTTTCTACGAATTGAATACGTTAATATGTAACTGACCTGTCAGTTTAGCATGGTACATTAACCACACGTCTAATCTTGTACTGATCAAAATTGCTAGTTCAAAGGACACAGTAGATTAAATAGAATCAATTCAAATAAATTTATCAAGTACTAA